TTTTTTTAAAGACTTGAAACTGAGACATTGATTTCTGGCACTTTGTTCAAATGGCTTTTCTTTGATGAGTTGATACCAATGGTTGATGACGATCTGGTTTTTAAAAAAAATAGAATTGATTTTTGTTGTTAATATACACAGCAGAAACTACACAAGTCCAACCATTTCTACACGGACACCGATTGCATTCATCAAGTGGGGCAATCCTTCTCACGCTCCTCTTCTGAATCGCTCCTCTCCCTGCCTTAACATAACATAATTCACTGCTTCCCAAGCTTTCCAGCTACTCTTCTCCAGCTGCTGGTGTCAACTGCGTCCCCTTTCTTTCTTTCAAAGGACATGATGCTCAAGGCATAGATCTTTACTAATTAGGGAGCTTCAATGGATATTCTTCTTTGCTTTAAGTTTTAAAGATTATTTTAGAGCAATAGTTTTGGGTGTTCATCCAGTCTCAATGGCTCCAGAAAGTCTGGATTCCAACACATTCTCTTCCACATTTCCCCCTTTTGATTAGGATTCTTCTATAGAATCATTGATTGACAGGTTCAGCAATGATAGCTGAGTACTACCCTGTTCTTGGTTCTTTTCTTGATAATGAAAGTAATACATGTGCTCAGGGAAACATACAAGACTCTAAAAGTCTTTCTTCCCCTAATTCCACTCTCGAATGCTAGTCACTGTTAATAATTCCTTGAGAAGACTTCTAGGATGTTCTATTATGCAGAAACTTATGTACACAAAACTCATGTGTACAAACATATATGTATGTGTGCACAGACACACACACATACACACACACACACAGAGAACTGGACATGATGGTAGGAGAAAATGGAGAAGAGTTTAAAGCACTGTGGGGGGCTTCTAAAGGGGCTAGGTTGGGGCTGCTGAAGGGAGGCGGTAACACAATATGAGGATGGACGAGGGGGCAGAGGAGCCATAAATAATCAAAACATTGCTGTTGCCGTTAGGAGCCATCAAGTCGGTACCGACTCATAGCGACCTGATGCACAAAAGAATGAAACACTGCCCAATCCTGGGCCAACCTCACAATTGTTGACATGCTTGAGCCCATTGATGCTGCCACTTTGCCAATCCATCTTACTGGGGGTCTTCTTCTCCTTCCCTGACCCTCCACCTTGCCAAACATGATACCCTTCTCCAGCAATGGTCCCTCCTGACATTATGTCCAAAGTATCAGAGACGAAGTCTAGCTATCCTGGCTTACAAGAAGCACTCTAGCTGCACTTCTTCCAACACAGATCTGTTGGTTCTTTTGGCAGCCCACTGCACTTTCAATATTCTCCTCCAACACCATAACTCAAAAGCATCAATTCTTCAACGGTCTTCCTTAGTCACTGTCCAACTTTCACATGCATATGAGGTTATTGAAAATATCATGGCTTGGGTCAGGCGCACCTTAGTCCTCAAGCTGACATCTTTGCTCTTTAACACTTTAAAAAGGTCTTGTGCAGCAGATTTGCCTAATGTAATACGTTGTTTGATTTCTAGACTGCTGCTTCCACGAGTGTTGATAGTTGATCCAAGAAGAATGAAGTCCTGGACAACTTCAATCTTTTCTCCGTTGATAAGAATGTTGCAGTTTAGGAACTGGGAAATCAAACATCTAGTTTGAATAGTAATTGTACATTCCTCAAAGGTTTATGACTAGTGCTTCATGATCATGAAAGATTTAAAGTGCTTAGCATTGTAAATGGGAACACGGTGGCTATGTAAGGTAAACACTGGACTGTGAACCACAAGTCTGATGGTTCGAGCCCACCAGTTGCTCCATGGGAGAAAGAGAAGGCTTTCTGCTCCCGAAAAGATTTACAGCCTCGGAAACACCTTACAGGGTTATTATGAGGTGGTGTGGATTCGACTCCACTTAACAGCAAGCGTTGTGTGTCCCACACCTAAGCAGATGTAACTGCGATTGTGGTTATCACTTCAGTGAGTTGAGAATGACCCCCATTGCACGGAAGCTTCATGGTCCCCAGTCCCTGTGTGGCACACGGGGACCTTGTGTAGAACAGATCTAATGCCAGCTGATCCTCCACCATCTTCATGACTGTGGGTGTGTTTGAATTGATTGTGGCCAGCTCTTCACTTTACCAATCAGGGTGTCCTTTTCTGGAGACATGTCCAAAGGACAGGAGCTCAAGTCTCTCTTTCACCACTTGCTTCTTCCTGATTACTTCTGACACCTTTTTTTATGCTGTGTGTCCTTGGGGAAAAAAGCTTTCTGTTTCTTATGGACGGAGAGCCTTTGGAGGTGTCCAGATCCGTTAGGACTCATTTTCTCACTTCCAAACTTTGGGTGGGACACCAATGAACCTGTTGTATTTTACACATTCTACCTGAGAATGCATAGGATTACTTACTTATGAAAAATCCCTGCTCACTGTCTGCATTGAATAGCATTGACTTTGGGGGCTTCCCAGCTACTGGGGCGGTTATGTTGCTCTTCTGGGACACTCCTAGTTTCTAATTGTGTTTAGAATGACTGGCTTCAACCGCTTAGTGAGATATTTTCTGCATCCTCAATGCGTTAGTTGTCAGTAAAACGAAACCTGCCTACACACTCTTCTATTCTTGATTTATAAATAGGTTTCGTTGCCTAACAATTAAACCTACTATATTTTGCACATGCATCTTCCTTAGGGAGACATGAGAGGGCAGATGGCTGTCACTCCCACAAAACTTCCTAAACACTACCTTTCTAAGTGCCCACCCCCAAAGTGGGTATATTTTGAAGAGGGGGCTCTGGTCATTGGTTGGGACCCACCAGCAGCTCTGTGGAAGAAAGATGTGGCAATTAGCTCGGGACAGTTCTAGGATTGGAGATGAGACTTTCGGTCTGGAAAGCCCAAAACATGGTTTCCAACATGTATAGATAATTCAATATCATATTTCTAGCAGGTCTTCCAAGGGACAAGCCCAGGGCCAGCCTGTGTGTGTCGGAGAAGGCGTGCAGCACAGCTTCCCTTGGGACGTACGTAGTCTTGCATGTTTGTCACAGTGAGAAACACTGGTGACAGACACAGGACAGCAGAGCAAAGCAAACAGGCGTAGTTTTCAGTATTGTTGGGAGCCTTTGAGTCGGTTCCTACTTAGAGACCCCATATGGCAGAGTAAAAATGCCCTATATGATTTTCTAGGTTGCTTGAACTGCTAACTCTCTGGTCAGAAGTCCAGTGCTTAATCACTGCATCCCCAAAACTTCTTTAGGTAGTACTAAGAATTTGATAACCCTGAAGGAAGGAGAGGGCATAGCATATACCAAAATTTGTCTGGTAACCAAGGAGGATGGAATCCTGGTGTGGTGCTGTAAGATAAACACTGGACTACCACAAAGTCAGGAGTTCAAATGCACTAGCCGCTTCTCAGAAACCTTATACTGCGTCTCTATGAGTCTGAACCAATTCAACAACAAACAGCAACCTAGGAGACTAGGTAAGGGAGACAGTGTCTTAGTCGGCAGTTCCTGAGTGGTAGGACCATTCGTGTTAGGGTGAAGGTTTGAATAACCAACCAGTGAAAATCTCATGGAGCATAGTTCTACTATGACTGACACACACGGGATCGCCACGAGTCATAGCTCCTCCATTGGTTTTGGCCATAGGTTAAGTTGGGCAGGATTTCTGTACTGGACAGGGCATGGACGGAATATTATACCTTGAGGTCTGTAATTTCACCTATATCACCATAGGATGCAGTAAGGTGCCTGTCCCCTCTGGAGAAAATAAAGCAGTTTGCTTCCGTAAAGATTTACAGGGACGGAAACACAAAGGAGAAGTTTTACTTTTTCCTATTTGGCTCCTCCGCGTCAAAAATCGACGGTAAGGCAGAAAGTTTGCTTTAGATGATTTAACGCAATAGGGAGGAGGCCATCCCTCTTTGGCCCTGGGAGAAGTCGGGGAGAATTAGCAGACTTGCCACTTAGTTTGGACACTTAAACTGGGTCTTTGCCCACTGGCCTCACCAACTCTGCATCCGGCACTACTTCAAGGAGAAAAGACAGCGGCCACGAGGTAAAAGACGTCAGGGTGTGGGGGATGAGCCTTGTCACCTCCCAGTTGCCAACCAAGCTGGCAAAGCTCTCTCCTGCTTTCTGGATATATTGAAGGGCCTCTTTGGAAGATCTCTGATGCCTGGCGCAAGGTCGCCTCCGGTGGCGGTGAGGCCGGGTAGGATGAGAGGAGTTAGCGTCTGGGCTAAGGACTGGACTTAGCGTGGTCGGCTCAGGGCTTGCAGGTGGTGAATGAATGCGCAGGAATCCCCAGAGCCGACGGGTAAGTTTCCACGTCCTATTAAAACCAACCAATCAGTCGGGGTCTGGATTCTTTGCTGTGGCCTGGGGCACCGACTGCAAGGCCCAGGAATCCCGTCCGGCCAGTTGGGGGCTCCACGGAGCTCTGGCTCGCAGTCCCCAATGGGCTGGGGGATGGGCTGTAATTTCTTCGTGTCGCCCAATCCCCTACCACTCTCGGGCCAGCCCCGACCCTGCTCCCCGCAGCGGGCGCGGCCATGCGCATTCCTTTAGTGCGGTCCTGGCTTGGGCGTCAGCTCCCTCTAGGCGTTCCTGGAGGCTCCAGGTTCCCTACGGGCGCACGGTCTAGGTGCGCTCAGGGAGGGGCACCGCCCACTACCACCCCTGCCCGCGGGACCGTCTCCGCGTCCCCCGCAGTCCCTGCAGGCTTGGGTATGGGATGGAGAGGGGGTCCCGGGCCCGCCCGCCGAGGGGGCGGTGAGTCAGAGGCCCGCGGGCCGGGGGAGGGAGGGGGTCAGGAAATGACATCAGAGGCAGGCTTGGGGGCCGGCGGGCGAGCGCGCCTTCCGGGGGGCGTTTCCTGGCCGCTCCCCGCCCGGCCAGCCGCTCCTTGTATGGTCGCGCTGCGCGCTCACCGCCCTGAGTCCCTAGCGGCGGTGGTGGCCGGACGCAGAGCCGCGGCGCCGGGCGGCCAGGACGCCGAAGCCCGAGCACTCCCTTCGCCGGCATGGCCGCTCCGCGCCCGCCCCCCGCTGTCGCCGTGTCGGCGCCTGCCTTTTACGCGCCGCAGAAGAAGTTCGGCCCGGTGGTCGCCCCCAAGCCCAAAGTGAACCCTTTCCGGCACGGGGACGCTGAGTCCACCGCAGCAGCCGGCGCGCAGCGTGCGCAGATGGGCCGGGTGGGCGAGGCGCCCCCACCGCCTCCCGAAGGTACCCCGTGGGGGAGCGCCGGGACTGTGGGTCGCTGGCGTGTAGGGATCCCGCGCGGGAGGTGGGAGCCGCCGAGGTGCAGGGGGAGGGGACTCTGGCGTTTGGAGATGGGGGGAGGCGGGGAGCATCTAGAGGTTGGGGGCTGCCAGGGCCGGGTGTGGGCAGTGTCAGGGGACTAGAAGCCCGAAGAAGAGCCGGGAGTGGGGCAGGGAAGGCGATGGCGGTGGAGGGACATCCTGGAGGACTTAGAGGTGATAGAGGAATCGGACTACACTGCCCACTGCCGTGGAGGGCCTGGCGCAACCTCTGTCCCCAGTCCCGAGCAGATGTTCTTACCTCATCTTGGCTAGTGGCCGGGCGCCAGGGCTCCTGGGACCTAGCCAAGCCCGCTGGCGGGGGCGGGGATGGGCGGGATTCTTCCCCTTGGGGTGTACTCTCTGAGGTGTAACGGGGCACCTAGCTCCTCCGGGTGCCCTGGCCTGACCCAGTGTCCGGGCGTCCTGCACCGTTTATTCCCACACTTATTCTTGGACCCCCTCTAAGTTGGAGTTGTGAAAGGAGGGGGTCCTGGGGAGTGGGTAGAGGGATCTGCACTGATGGCCGCCTCTCCCTCCCCCAGACTTTCCCTTACCACCCCCTCCGCCCCTCGGGGACTGTGATGATGATGCGGAGGGTGCCTTGGGGGTTCCTTTCCCCCCTCCTCCGCCTCCCATCGAGGAGCTGTTCCCCCCTATGCCCTCGGAGGAGGACCTCTTCATGACCCCGCCGCCCCCATTGGAGGAAGAAGGAGGGCCAGCGGCACCCACCTCGCTCCCACCACAGGTAGAGGGACACAGAGGAGGGGTGGACTGGTCGGGTGGAACGTATGGAGGACAGGCCTCTGACCCTGACCTGCAGCCCAGGGAGAAGGTCAGCAGCATTGACTTGGAGATGGACTCACTGTCCTCGCTGCTGGACGACATGACCAGGAACGACCCCTTCAAGACCCGGGTAAGAGGCTGGTGGGGAGGGATAGGTGGGAGAGAAGGGCAGCTGTGTGTGTGGAGGGGGAGCTGGGGAGAAGACAGGACTACTTAGGGCGGGCGCCCTTTCTCTGACCTCTGGCACTCTCTCTCTCTGACCCCCCGTAGGTGTCCTCTGGATACATGCCCCCGCCTCCAGTTGCTGTACCTTTCACTCCCAAACCCAGTTCTAGGCCTGCACCTGGTGGGACCGCACCCCTGCCTCCTTGGAAGGTCCCCTCTAGTTCCCAGTCTCCGTCTCAGACTCACACCCTTCCTCAGAGCCAGACACAGGTCCCTGCCCCACCCCAGGCCTGGTCAAAGGTCCAGCCCCAGGCCCCATCCCAGGCCCTGAACCCAGTCTTGAACCAGGCCCAGGTCCTGCCCCAGCCTGTGTCTTCTGCCCACACTCAACCTCGAGGTTCCCCAGCCCCTAAGTTTTCTCCAGTGGCCACCAGGTTTACTCCTGTGGCATCTAAGTTCACCCCAGGAGCCCCAGGGGGACCTGCATCACAGTCCAGTCAGAAGTCGGGGTCCTCTGTAGCTTCCCCTTCCATGGGCACAGGCTCCGTCCAGTCCCCCATTGTCCCCTACGCTCAGCAGAGGGAGAAACCCCGTGTGCAGGAGAAGCAGCAACCAGTACCCCCACCTCCGCCAGTTCCAAACCAGGTGAGGGGGTGTCAAACGAGGTGAGGGAGCAGACCAGGTGAAAGGGTGGGGCTTAGGCTGACAGCAGAGGTCTAGGTGTGGAGGGCATTGAGTGGACAGTCTGAAGAGGAAGGGCCCTGGAGGAGAGACCCGGCCCAGTCTGGTTTGGGAGTGAGGACCCACACAGATGGCTGCTGGAATGTCCAGGGGGAGAGATGAGGTCACCATCCCAAGCTTGGCCCTTCCCTTTCTTGAGCCGACCCCGCTCTCCAGCTCACGGGCCTTCTGATGGTCAGGGCATTTGGGACAGGGGACAGTCATGATATCTCCTGGGACAGAATCCAGGAGACCCCAGCTGAGTCGGGAGCTTTGTGCATCTCACTTGTCCAGCTTGTGAACAGCATTCTACCTGATGCTGTGGTTTTGCAGTGGAGCTTCCTGAGGCGGGCATAACTGGGCTGTGTGCCTCGCCCCAATGCACCAGGCGGAAATGGCAGCTACAGGACAGTGCTTGCCGCCAGAACCCAGAGGGGATCATGCCACCTAGTCCCTAAGGTGACAGTGTGAATGTAAGTGCAGGAAGGGATACCCATGAACACCTAGGAGCACAGACTCAGGACCTAGATGAGGACTGCAGGCAGGGGAAGCTTCTGGAAGCTGGTATGCTTTGAGAAAATGAACTTCCATTCAGGGTCTGTGAGAGATGAGGGAGGCATTGCAGTTTGGGGGTAGGTGGGTGGGTGGGTGCAGTCAGAGCAGTGTTTTTGGAGGATTTGGTGGAATGTTCTCAGCAGAGGTGTGTACAGAGTACAACCCGGGCGATGGTCCTTGGCCAGTGAACAATAGGTTCCACGTTGTGAGTACTTTAGAGGAAGGCGCTCCAGAGCGAGTCACTGATAAGCACTGGGGGAGGGGGAATGGCGACGCTGGGCGTGCCGGGAGGGAGTCCGATAGAGAAGTCCTGAAGGGGAAATGAGGTGGAGGGGAAGAGTAGGAGGCCGCTGTGGACTTGTTGAGCAAGAGTTGAGCAAGAGGTCCTTCCAGTGGGGGCTGCATTCAGTTAGAGATGGACAGTGAGCTTCCAGATGGACGTGGTAGTAGTGTTCAGAGCAAGGGGCATGAGACGTCCCATTTAAGGGCATGAGGTGAGGGGGGACGAGGGTTGGAGCAGCCCCACGCCCACATGGGATTCTTGAAGCCAGGAGGACACTCTTCAGCGGAGGACTGAAGAGAGCAATCTAGAGGCCAGAGATGAATCATTAGGACTTTGTGGGTGGCAGTAGGGAGGCCCATTGGTGTCCTCAGGCAGAATGGAAACATTGAGAAAGTCTTGGAGTTGCCTACTATGAGGGGCAGGACTGAGTGTGAGTGTAGACAAGGTAGGGGGGCTTCAGTGTGGTGTGAGCCGGGGGTGGGAACCCATGGGGCTGAAGGCCTTGTGAAGGTCACCACTGTTTTCTGGAGAGGAAGGATGGTGAGGAAGCAGAGACTGGCTGATGTCCTTCTGGGTCCGTAATGAAGCCAGTGTGCTCATCCGGGAAGAGAGAGGGGGCTCTTGGGGGTGGAAAGGGTCAGAGCAGCTGCTGTGGAGCAGGCAGGAGGGAGACACGGAGACACTGCGCTTTCTGTAGCTGGGTGGACACAGGGTTGAGATTACACCAGCCTTGTAGTGGTGGCTGAAGGTGGCCAGATGGCGGTGAGCCCATTAGCAGAGCTAGGCTGTGGAGAGGCAGCCTCTGAGTGGGCCATGGAGCAGGTGTGTGTGGTGGGGGTACAAGACTAGGGTCTGGGTGGTTACAAGCTGGCAGAACTGAGATGCTCAGGGTCATGTGCTGGAAGGTAATGGTGTTGGAGTTGGGACCTTGTAGCTGGCAAGCAGAGGGAACTGGGGGGCAGGTATGTCCTGGAGGACTTCCAGTGTCCAGGTTTGGGGGCACAGTGGTGGACAGCACACCCTAGGCAGGGAGGCCCATCAGCTCTGAGTGGAGGGAAGGACATTCTCCTTCGCAGGGGGTGGCTCAGTGAGAGGACGCTGCTGCAGGCAATCAGGACGTTTGGTCAGTGAGTGGACTTGTCAGTGGTGATGTGGGGTGGCTGTCCTGGAGGCGTCATCAAGCAAGTTAGCCTCATGCTGCCTGAGTGTCTGGGGCAGGACAGTTCCCAGCACCCCTCTGTTCTTGGGGTTACAGCAGAACCTCTGCCCGCCCTGGCTCCACCATCCCCTGCACAGGATGGGCCAGCCTGGCAGTGGACATTTGGGAGTCCCGAAGCCTGCACTTGGGGCTTGGTTCTCACTGCCACATTCTGACTGGCAGCAGGTGGACGGTAGGTGTGTGGCATGTTCTGTGACATCTGCGTGGCCCTGCTGTTTTGGAGCTTCTGTGATGTTATGTGTGACCTGCGTCCACCCGCCCTCAGCCCGGCTGCGCTGCCCAAGGGGCTCTTGTCCAACCATCTCCTTGGTTATTGGTGGCGGGCCTGGGATGGGTCACAGGCTGCAAGGGTCAGGCCTGAGATCCAGGAGGCTGGGAGGGATGGCCTCGGACTCTGAAGATGGTACTGGGGTTTCAGGTTCACACCTCTGGGCCCCCTGGGCCCCCTGGCCCCCTGACTCTGAAGGAGGTGGAGGAGCTGGAGCAACTAACTCAGCAACTCATGCAGGACATGGAGCAGCCCCAGAGGCCAGTTACCAGCGGTGAGCCCCCTACCCCTCCCTGACCCTGTCCCGGCGGTGAGCACCCATCCCCCTGCCTCCCCTACCCCATACCCTCCACCAGCTGTGAGCCCCACCAGTGTCCCCTCCACAAGCTGTAAGCCCCACCTGTGTCCCCTCCACCAGCTGTGAGCCCCCTTCCCTGCCACCCCCACCCCAAGTCTCCCTCCTGCTGATGCCCACCTCCCTGCTCCCCACCTGCAGAGCTCTGTGGCTGTTGCCAAGAGCCCCTGGCGCGTGCCCAGCCGGCCGTCCGCGCGCTGGGCCAGCTGTTCCACATCTCCTGCTTCACCTGCCACCAGTGTTCCCGGCAGCTGCAGGGGCAGCAGTTCTACAGCCTGGAGGGGGTGCCCTACTGTGAGGCCTGCTACACCGACACCCTGGACAAATGTAGCACCTGTGGGCAGCCCATCACGGAACGCATGTTGCGAGCCACGGGCAGGGCCTACCACCCAGACTGCTTCACCTGTGTGGTGTGTGCCTGTCCCCTGGAAGGCACCTCCTTCATTGTGGACCAGGCCAACCGGCCCCACTGCGTCCCCGACTACCACAGGTGTGCTCTCCGCTTCCCCACACTGGGCAGACCCCTGTACAGATAGATGGTCAGTGTCATGTTCTGAAGGCACCCACGGAGGTTGCTGTCAAGGGCTTGGAGTCTTCTTGTTAAGTGCTATTGTGTTGTTTCCGACTCATAGCGACCCTGTATAGGGTTACCGAGGAGCGACTGGTGGGTTTGAACTGCTGACTTTGCAGTTAGGTGTGAAGAGGCTATCTGCTCAGGCCACCAGCATGGGATGGGGCACGCTGGGGAAACCCTTGTCAGTGATTTTGAGGACCGTCTCTGGCCAGGCCTTGACCTCTCCCTATGTGCCCCACTAGTGGTGGGCAGAGGACTTGTGTGTTCCACAGAACTGGGTTGGGGTGGGTTACCTGGGGGCCGAGGGAGAGCTGAGACTCCCAGTGAGGGTCAGATGGTTCCTGCCAGTTCCCCCCAGGGGGTGGAGGGACAGTGTGGAAGGCAGGGAGCTGTACCCTGTGGTCTGTGCCCCATGCTGACCCCAACCCCTTCGCCATCCAGGCAGTATGCCCCTCGCTGCTCTGTGTGCACGGAGCCCATCATGCCGGAACCCGGCAAGGACGAGACCGTGCGGGTGGTGGCCCTGGATAAGAACTTCCACATGAAATGCTACAAGTGTGAGGTACGTGGTCCCGCAGGAGGGAGGGAGGGGGCCGGGAGAGGCTACCTCAGGGCAGCCCTGGGCTCACTGGCCTTGACCCTCTAGGACTGCGGGAAGCCCCTGTCCATTGAGGCCGATGACAACGGCTGTTTCCCCTTGGACGGACATGTGCTTTGCCGGAAGTGCCACTCGGCCCGTGCCCAGACCTGAGGGCCAGCTTGCTGGGCCAGGCCTGCCCACAGGCCCCAGGCCCCTGACGAGCGCCCCTCCTGCCTCACCAGGCCCCAGGGCCCTGACCCCCACCCCCCACCCAGGGGCACCAGCCCTCACTGTTGCTTTTCACTTCTGCGAACCCAGCTCCCAGCTATTGGAGGTGCCAATTCCAGGGGAGGGATGGCCCGACCCCCACCAATGCCGCCAGGTTGTGGCCACAGCTGCAATAAAGAACATTTTTCCAGAACTCTCCGTGTGGACTGGGAGGGAGGCGAGGGAAGGGGAGGGGGCACAGAATTGGGGTAAGGGTGAGAATTCAGTCTTGTTTATTTATAAAAATAGACATGTATATATATTAAACCCCAACCCCACAGCACCCTAGTTCCCCATAAGCCCACAGGTCTTTGGGTAGATGCAACACCAGAGGCCCCTGTGGCCCAGAAGGTGGGGGTGCCCGAGAGGTCCTGGCCCTGATGGGGGGATGAAGGCGGCTCAGTCCTTAAACCCCTGAATACTGCAAAGGATGCGCTTCTGATGGCCGGGTAGCGTGATGCCCATCTGTGTTAGGTCCCTGTGGGGATGGGGAGAAGGGGGTTGGCAGGGTGCAGGGTGGAGGGCTGCCTCAGACCCCCAATGGCCCCGCCCCGCACTTACTCGCCCGTGAGCTCCAGGACACACTGCATGGTGTCCAGACCGGCCGAGCGGAAGTGTAGGATGTAGCGCTTCATCCGGATGGACTCCAGCCACTCAGCTACGCTGCGGTATGGGATCCCATCGGAGCCGCTCAGGCTGGGCAGGCGGAGGGTCACCCTGGGGGATGGGGAGGCTGGGTCAGAGGGTGGGAAAGGGAGGCGGGTGGTAAGGTCTGCTAGGGTCAGCTGTATGGGCCTGTATTAACTCTGGACACTGGGTGGGATATAGACTGCTCCGGCCTTTGTTGAATCAGGGTGGCTCTTTGCAGACCCATTCAAGTGAGGTGTCTGACACTGAGCTCCCTGGGTCAGCCTATGTGCCAGTCGGTTGCAGCGGGTGGCACACAGCCCTGCCAGTCTGCACACGAGGACCATCTTCCTCCAGTGGCCTGTTCTGGACAGACAAGGAGGCACTGGGGGCCACAGAGGGCAGGGATCAGAGACACAGGGCTCGTTGTTGCCCTCCGGGTGGCCAGTGAGTGCCAGGCCACCTCCTGTTATTCTTGACTCGACACCCACAAAGAGTGGCCCTGTGTAGCAACCAAAACCATGAGCAGAGCCAAACTGCTGGGAAACAGCCAGCATTCCAGAAAGATGAACACATGCGTCCAGAGCTCGGGGAGCCGGCTTCCAAGAGGCGGCTTCAGAAGCTGGAACTAGGAGCACATGTTCTTGAGACACATCGTGATCCATGGGGGTTGGACCCCCAGCACAGACTCCCCTGCCTCATATCCTGTCCCCCCAAGTCTGCTGTACATTCTGGCAGTGGTTTTGGTCAAATGCAAAACACTGACTGACCACGCCCCTGCATGGACTCTCTCTTAGGGTCACTTGCTGTTGGACCCAGGCTGAAGTCCAAATGTTCAACCAGAGAGCTGGCCCTCTGGCCCTGACCAGCTGCCTCTCCAGACCCTCCAGCTTCAGGCTCCTGCCCTGACCCCCCCAGTCCCTGAGGTGGTCTCTGCCTGCCCAGCATCGAGCATTTACCGATTCACCCCTGTTACACCGACCACGCTCCTGGAGATGTAGGCATGGGCATGGCTCCATCTCCAAGCCCAAGACTCGCTCAGCATACCGTAAACAAAACCACCAAACCCAGTGTCCTCCACTCACTCCTAACTCATGGTGACCCCACGTGTGTCAGAGTAATCATGTGCTCCATAGGGTCTTCTTGGCTGTAAGCTTTATGGAAGGTACCCTGGTAGCACAGTGAGCTCAATGCTGGATTGCTAACCAAAACATCATGTCTTTGAAGCCACCAGCTGCTCTGAGAGAGAATGTGGCAGTCTGGTTCTGTTAAAGATACCTTCCAAAGCTCTATAGAGCAGCTTGAGTCTGTCCTGCATGGAAGTGCAAAGTCAGACCTCTGCATGCTTTGAACTACCAAGGCTTCAGTTAGCTGCTAAGTGCCAAGGAGTTCGTTCTGACACATAGCGACCCTGTACAGAGTTTTGGAGGAGCGGCTGGTGGGTTTGAACTGCTGATCTTGTGGTTAGCAGTCCAGTGCTTCTTACAGTGCCACACCAGTTGAATGCAAACCATGTGTACCCCCAAGAGATTCCATCAGCACACAGCAGGCCCTCCCAGATGGAAGGATCCTCCCCTGCTCTCTGGGAAGGGGCGTGCCTCGCATTTAGTGTTCTCAGCAGTTCCACTGGAGGACAGGACTGAAGAACACAGTGCAGGGGATGCGCACAGACCGCGACCCTCTCTCCCGGGGCCTGGCTGCAGCTGACCACTGCAATCCCTCTAAGAACCTGCCTCAATCTTCTTGTGCACCGAAGTCAGGGGGCTGCTTCCTGTCTTCTGGTGGAGGGGAGCGGAGGCTTTCCAGGGAGGTGGCCTGTCCTCACACAGTGCTCAGCCCCAGACAGCGTGGGCCCTGCCTTAGCACACAGGAGCCCCCCCACCCCCACCCCACCCCCCGCGCAGTACCTGGGGTCGAAGTTGGCAACAGTGCGCAGCGAGTGGGGATTGGCCAGCAGCTGCTCCAGGTGGGCGTCCAGCTGGTGGAAGGGGGGCCGGCACGTCCGTTCATATGCCCAGCAGTTTTTCATAAGCTCATACAGTGGGGCTGGGCAGTCCACGGGCGGAGGCAGCCGGTATCCCTCCTCTATGCTCTTCATCACCTGCAGGTACAGGGGATGCTCAGCTGGTGGCTGGGGGTGACCTGTGCCCACATGAGGCATTCAGGAGGACCTTGAGACAGCCCTGGCTAGGTGGGGTGACAGGGTATAGGGGGACGGAGGCAGCCAAGTGAGGTCAGGGAGATGAACCAGGCATTCGGAGCCGCGGGAGGACTTGGGAGCGATGGGCAGTGAGGTGCGTTGGGGAGACCCGGGTGCAGGCACGTGACCTCACCTCCTGATTGTTCATGTCACCATAAGGCTTGTCACCAAAGCTTAGCACCTCCCACATCACAATCCCAAAGCTCCACACGTCACTGGCAGTGGTGAAGATCCGGTGGGCAATGGCTTCAGGGGCCGTCCAGCGGATAGGGATCTTCCCTCCCTGTGGGGTGTGAGTGACAGAAGGGGGTAAGGTGAGTTCCAGGGCATGGAGGTGGGGAAGGAAAGGGCACAGGTGACGGGTAGAACGTGACCGTGGTCCACACAGCCACGGACTCTGGTCCTCCTGCATCCGTGTCACCGGGGTGTTTGCTGTGTATGGTATGATCGTGTGTGCGAGTACACATGTGCTCTGTGAGTACATGCGTGTGTGTGCGTGCTGTCAGGGTGTGTGCAGGGCTCACACCTGGGTTTCGTAGGTGCCGTCAAAGTTGTCCAGGAGACGTGTCAGGCCAAAGTCAGACACTTTACAGCACAGGTGCTGACTGACCAGGATGTTCCTGGCCGCCAGGTCGCGGTGGACGTAGTTGTGGTCACTGAGGTAGCTCATGCCTGACGCGATGCCCTGCAGCATGGCAGTCAGCTGTCCAGGGGTCAGCTGGTCCTCACGCTCCTGCAGCAGGGTGGGTACGTCAGGGAAGGCTGGGGTCCCCAGGGCGCTGTGCATCCCCTGCATGCTCTGCTTACCCTCAGGAAGGCGTCCAGGGCTCCTTTGTCCATGTACTCTGTGATGATCATGATGGGCTTTCCTGATGCAGGACAGGCAGTGTCATGGTGGCCCCTATGCCCACCTCACCCCTCTAGGCCACCCTCCACCGCCAGGGACCCCCTCCCGTACTCTTGGTGATCACGCCTTCCAGCCGTAGGATGTGTGGGTGACTGAACTGGCCCATGATGGTGGCCTCCCGGAGAAAGTTCCACCAGTGACCGTCTGGGGAGGTGTCCTTCAATGTCTTGACGGCCACTGTCCGGCAGTCCTGACCAGGGATCCGGAGGGAGCCTCGATACACTTCCCCAAACTCTCCTGGGTGGGGTGGGGTGGGATGGGGGCAGGTCAGATATCTGAGACAGACAGGGTCCAGCCCTTCATGCCTTTTGACCGTCTTGAAGGGGGCAGAAACTCCGCTGCCTGTCCAGGGACACAGGGCTACGAATCTCAGAAGGACCCAGAGAGTCTCCCGGGGCAAAGGGTGTGGGGGCAGTCACCCACTCCCCCACTGCTGGCCCCTCGGTCATAGCACAGCCCGGTTGCATTTGGCAAACACATGGCCACAGTGTGTCCTCTGGGCAGAGACCAGAACAGCACCAGGACACAGGGGTGTGTGTGGGACACGTGGGTCTGGGAGGCCGAGTCTCCCACACATGGGGTTCCTCTGACAACAGGTTGGACTCTAGCCATAGCTCTCGAAACAGCTGGGAGTGCTCAACCTGATGCCTTGAAACACAACCCAGGGGACACTGGGTGAGGGCTGGATGAGGGCACCATGGGGGACAGTCCCTGGGGGAAAGGGCAGATAGGTGGACAGGTCACCTTCCCCGATGACAGTATCCACCACCAGCCCCGCAGGGTCGAGCTCATGGGTGAAGTCCAGAGCTCCTTGGGCAGGGTCATCGTACGCCTGCAGGTCCACGTACGTCTTCAGCCAGAGCTTGTCCTCTGTGGGGAGAAGGTGTTCAGTTCAGGGACCCCAGGGCCAGGGGTCTTGGCTGTATGGCTTTCTCTCCACTGAGGTGAAGTGGGATGAAGCCCATGTTTTTGGTGGGCATACCCTTCCTGTCCATGTTCTCTCACTCTGCACCCTATAGCCCCTGGTGTCTGCTCCAGCCCCCTCCATTCACTCCTACCTCTTTGCCAGACAGGCCTCACCCTAAGGAGGTGACCAGCAGGAAGCCCATATGGCTCAAGACCTCAGGGGTCTAGGGAGGGCCTCCTACCCAAGGATGGAGGGACACTGTCCAGAGGCGGACGGACTGCAGCCATCAGATAACAGCTCCGCACCAGCCCCACCCCCAGGGTCATGTGCAGACATTTCAACCACAGTTAATTAGACAACAGTACAGAGCCTGAGGGCAAGAAATCCCAGGGCCCCAGAGCCAGCCTAGCACATGGGGTCCCTGGGTCCCTTCCCAGTAGCCCCAAGCACACACACGAATCCGCACATGCACACATGTGCACCGAGGCACACACACAATCATGCACACTATAGACACATACTGGTGCACACTTTCACAGAGTCACACATGCACACACACATGTCCCAGCTCACCACGGTCCACATCAGCGCCACGCTCTCGCTGCCTCCGCTGCCGCCTCCGCTGTGCTCTCCTGCGGGGGGGAGGGGGAGTGTTCAGCTCTTCAGGCACAGGCCCTCCTCTGGCCCTCAGAGAAAGCCTGGGTCCTGGACATCCACTGGGTTCTGGCTGGACTCTCCCCTGGACAAGCAGTGGGTCCCAGGGACACAGGGGGCATGGGTATGTGTGGACGAGTTTGGTGCTGTACATGGAGCTCCTGGCTGCAGGGGCAGGGCATGTGGCAGATTGAGGGCAGTGTTTGGGGGGGGGAGGCGGGGGCCAGCAACAACACCTGGACTGGAAGACCAGCATCCCGAGCAAGAGTGCCACGCCCAGCAGAAGGCCGAAGATGACCGCTACAATCTCCCCTCCAGTCAGGCCTCTGGAAACTGGGGGTAGGCAGGCTCCGTCAGGGCTAGGCACGGAGAGCTGGGGCTAGGTGGGCTCCCTCGGGGGCAGGCATAGTGTTCCCCAGCCAGGCCAGGCACAGGTATGCACGTGTGCACACACGTGTGTATATGGATGTGCACGTGTGTGCTTACATAAGAAGACATACACATGTACAGCACATGCTTGCACTCATACATATGCACACACATGCTGGCACACAGTGTGCACAGGCATGCAGGTGTGTACACATGTGTATATACGGGTGTGCACATGTGTACTTACATAAGACACACATGTACAGCACATGCTTGCACTCATACATATGCACACACATGCTGGCACACAGTGTGCACAGGTATGCAGGTGTGCACACACATTTGTGTACATGGGTGTGCATGTGCTTACACATGCGTACAGAGGAAGGGGGTCCAGGTAGGAACAGGGTACTCCGTGGGCAGCAGGTAGGAATGTCTGGGGGCGTACAGAGACTCACCTGGTGGGCTGGTTCGGAACTCGTGGTTGGGGGAGAAGGGGCCAGGGCCCTGTGGGGTCACCATGCGCACTCGGACAATGTAAGTGGTGTCTGGCTGCAGCTCCGTCAGCAAGACTCTCGGCTCCAGAACCGTCTGGTGCCTTTCTTCGTCCTGCGGGTGGGGGCTGTGTTGACAGGGGTCTTGGTGGCCCATGGAGAGGGGTTGGGTTCCCATGCCCTTCTTCCCCAGCTGTCCGCCCCTCCTGACCTGATTCAGCACGTGCAGCTCGTAGGTGAGGTTACCCCCAGGGCTGCGAGGCTGCACCCCTGCCCAGGTCAGCTCCAGCTGGCGAGGTGTTTTCTTCACCAGTCGCAAGGACAGGCCTGCCAGCGGCTCTGGGAGAACAGGAAGGGTTGAGGAGGAAGAATGAGTCAGGAGTCCTTCCCTGGGCCCGCCCGCCTGCCAGGCCTCACCTGTTAGGGCCTCACCTGCATGCCCCATGCTGACGCTGACAATGGTGCTGGCGGGGCGGGAGGTGCCCTGCTCTGACACCCCGTTCTGGGCACCCACTTCGAAGGTGTAGTTGGCAAAGGTCTCCAAGCCATCAACGTGCACGGCTGGTCGGGAGAGCCCGCTGGACGCTGGTGAAAAGCGTACTCCGCCCCCACAGGGCTGGCAGGGGCCCCCATCCAGGCCTGTCCCCAGACACCGGGAACAGCCCACATTGTACCTGATATCCTGGCGCCCCCCAGTGTCTTCTGGGGGCTCCCAGTTCAGGGACAGTTGAGTCCCCAAAACAGAGAAGCTCAGGTCTCGGGGAGCTGAGGGTGGTCCTGTGAAAGGGCGGGGCCATCAGCAGGGACCATTCTGTCTTCCACCTACACCCACCTCGACCCTACCCCCCAGTCTGGAAAGCCTTGAGGGGAGAGGGAAATTTAGTTGGTCTCTCTACCCTTCCAGGGAGAGCAGGTAGAGAGGGGCTGGAAGTACCCCATGCCTAGGATGATCCCACGTCTGAGCTCCCAAAAATCAGCCTCCGTCATGTGCCCCCACTCACGAGTGCAGGCCACGTGGGGACCCTCCTCAGAGGTTCGGTAGTAGCCAATCTCACAGGTGCATATGGTGGCCCCCTCCGTGTGGGTAGAGCTGTGCTGGGGGCACGGGAGGCACTGGGGGGTGTCCATGTCCGAACGGTAGGAGTTTTGGGGACAGGCTGAAGTGGGGAGCAGAGTTAGGGCTCTCACATGGCTTACAGGCCCAGGGCCCCTACTCCAAACTGGGCAGGTGTGTCTGAGCCCCTGCTTGTCCTTGGCCCCTTACCTCTGCAGTCCGCTCTGCCAGCGTCCTCCTGGAAGCCCGGCTCACAGTCGCACCGCCCCACAGGGACCAGCCACTCGCCGTCGGGGCTACAATGTAGGCGGGGCGTGCCCGAGAGGCCAGCCTGGGCGTGGGGCACGCAGGTGCCCGCCACTTCTGCCAGCCCTCCGGGGCCCGGGAGCGTGCCGGGGAATCGTGCCAGGCCGTGCGTGGCCTCGGGGCAGCGCTGGTAGAAGACGCGCACGGACACTAGGGCCACACAGGCCCCAGGGTTGTGGAAAGCCAGGTAGAGGCCCCGGCGTGCCAGGCGGCCCAGTGAGCAGCGCTCCACATTGAGTTTCACAGCGCCCGAGGCCAGGTCCCGGATGGTGAAACTCTGGTCCGCAGCCACGGTGGTCACCTGGGGGGAGAGGTGACAAAATCAAAGTCATGTTTCCTACGCACTCAACGGAAACTTGGAAACTTCCGCCTGGCCAGGAAGAGGGCTGGTATCTCCTGGGCCTCCTCACCTCCTAACCATTGTAGGAGGTGGGATGCATACCGCCCCACTGAATAGAGGGAGGAACTGCCGCTGAGGTTGTTTACCTGGCATCAGATTCTGCACCTACTAGGAGTGTGGAGCCCTGGTGTGCATTGGGTGCTAACTGCAAGGTCAGCTCCTCAGGAGAAAGCTAGGTCATAAAGATTTCGTTTCAGAAACCCTGGGGAGCGGAGCCAGTCTGTCCTACAGGGTCACTGTGAGTTGGTATCTAACCGAAGGCCCTGGGTACTTTTGGTATGGGTGGGGCTGAGATGGGGACCCGGCTGAGGGCTCTTAAATTCTTGGGACTAAAGGGTGTTCGGTTATAATTCGTGCCATCATCCACTTAGTTCTTGGGAATTGCCAAGAGATTTTCATTTGAGGTAAGAAAACAAGAGGGCGCCCTGTCTTAGCGGCCCCTCCCTCTCCACCATTCTGATAGGTGCTGAAATGGAGACCTGAGCATTAGGTAAGAGGTTCCTCACTACACAGCCCTGCTCACTTATGGGGGTGCCGAGGAGGAAGTCCCAATAGTTCCGCCCTAAACGCTCCCACCTGCCTCGTCCGGCACTCTGGTCTCCCCACCAAACCACCTCCAGTGGATTCTGACGTATAGCGACCCACTCAGACAGACTAGCGTCCTGGTGTGGCTCTGTAGGATGAGCCGCTCCTTAGAAACACTATACAGGGGCAGAACCCACTCATCAAGAGCAGGACAGATTACAACTGCCCCACAGGGTTTCCAAGGCTGTGAATCTTCCCAAACGCAGCCTGTCACATCTTTCTCCCGCAGAACAGTTGGTGGAATCTAACCACAGCTGAGCACTTTAATCACAGTGCCACCAAAGCATCTTTGTCCCCCTACAAAGATCCACAACCAAACCCACTGCCATCCAATTCGGACTCATAGCCACTCGATATTGAGTTTCTGAAACGTTGTAAATATCTGTTAAAGTAGCCAGTCTTAGCTTTCTCCCGCAGAGCTGCGGGTGGGCTTGAACTGCCGACCTTGCGGTTAGCAGCCCAACGACTAAACTAGAGCGCCACCGGGTCTTCCCAGGGAGTCTACTGAAAACCTCCCACCATTTTTCGGGCACCAAGGTGGTCACTACTAGGGGCGACGGAACCCTAACTCTGGAGCCTGAGCGCCAGCCCACAGTCGGTCCAGCCCCCTGATTCCTACCACGCATGCGCAGCCACACCCCTCTCCTGCGGCGGGCCCTAGTCATTTTCTCAGCTCCGGGAGTGAGGGTGGGGGTGTGTTGATGTAAGGGCCAAGCGGGCGCCCACCTTCTGGAACAGGGGCCGCCGTAGCTGGATGCCCACGTCCTGGTCACTCTCCATGAAGTACAGGCTGAAGGTCTCCTTGCAGCCGGCGGGCCTCGCGCCGTGCGGGAAGCTCTTGCAATCCCGCACGGTGAACTGCAGCTCCACGTGCACGCGCGCCGCCTCCTCGCCCCGGTAGATCCAGTTGGAACGCAGCCAGTGGTCGGCGTCGCCTCCGCTGTCTGCCTGCGGGCAGTCCTGGTACATGTACAGCGGCGTCCCGTTCAGCATCTGCTGCACTTCGCTCCACTGGGGGAGAGCCAGAGTCAGGGGCCAGCCCACCTGCGCCCCCACTCTCGACATGCTCAGAGCCGTGGAAGGGAGAGGTCCTGCCTCTGCCCGCCCCTCAGAGATGTGTTCAGGGTGGGGGGCTGAAGTGGAGAGGGCATGAGCAATACAAGCTCCCATTACCCCTGATGAGCACACTATTTGCTGGAGTGAGCATGGGTTCGTATCCACTTCGGTGGCAGAGTCATTGGTACCTCAAAGTCAGACTTTTGTAGAAAACGCTCAGTACAAGACCCCTGTCTCTCTGTTCAGAGAACAACAGACTGACCTAGAATATTAAGCTCCCCAGTTTTTGTGGGAAAAGACAATCCTCTGACCGGGCTAGCCCACCTTCCCAAGACGCCTGCCACAAAGACCATGGTTAAGTTCACCTGCCAGAGCTGGCTGGGCTCCTACCACCATCGAATCCCCTTCTCTCTTGACTTTCTACAATAAAACCATTTTTAAAACTTCGTAGTAAGAATGGCTAACACTGACTAGCCTGCAGTAATCCTGTTCTAAGCCTTCTCCACAGGAAAACTGAGGCAGAGGGAAAGCACCTTGTCCAAGACATGAGCCTGTTAGAGGAAAGCTGCGCCATGAACCCCATTTCATCATCATGTTGGTTGTAAAACGTCAGAGCAAGACTTGCACACAATAAAAAGTGAGCATCACCCTCCCACCCCCATCCCCACACACACCCATCCCAGAGGTAGTCACTCTTAACAATTTGGAGTACAATTTTCGGGACCATTTTCAATGACTACAGAAATGGTTTAATGGTTCTGTATTTTGCTTTTAACATAAATGGGATCATACAAACATTATTCTGCATTGTTGTTGTATCTTTTAAACACATACATGTATGAAAGATGTCCACATGAGTAAATACAGAGCTCTATTTCTCTTTAGCAGTCTATGCAATTGTATTGTATTGCACGGATGTACCACAATGTACTGAAGCATTCACATACTACTGAGCATTTAGGAAACTTCTAGATTTCTTTCTTTTATTAAACAAACATGTACACGTTTCTGTAAGATTTCTGTGGTTGCTAATGTTGTGACGTGGCGTTGAGTTGGTCACAACGCATTGTGACTCTGTACAGGAGTCACAATGGTGTGGCGTGGTGGGTTAATGCACCAGACTGCAAAGCCGTTTGAACTGCAAGGTTGGTGGTTCAAGCTCACCAGCTGCTCTTCAGAAACCCTACAGAGGGTTGCTATGGGTCAGAGTCCACTCAACAGCACTTAACAACAACAACATAGGGGTTTCCAAGGTTGAAAATCTTTGCAGGAGCAGAAAGCGACATCTTTCTCTCTTGGAGTGGCTTGTGGGCTTGAACTGCCAACCTTGTGGTATGCAGTCCAGATTACTGTAGAAACTGCCATATTAAAGCCGACATCTACTGTTAAGTGCTGTCGGGTCAGTTCCAACTCATAATGATCCTGTATAGAAGCAGCCGATGAGTTTGAACCACTGACCTTGTGGTTCAAACTGACCTTGCAGCCCAGTGCTTATCCTACTGAACCACAGCAGGATTCCAAAGAAGACATCTAAAGGGCAATTACTGGTCTCTCTCCATTTGGAGAAAAGAGTGAAGAAAACTGAAGACGCATAGAACCAATTAACCAATGGAAGAATGGACCATGGGAATGGCAGCCTCGGTGACCCTGAGGTCAGAACTAGATGGCATTCAGTTCCCACTACCAACCACTCTGAAAAGGTATTAGAGAGTCTGGCATAGAGTATGAGAAAAAAGATGAAAAACCTCAAATTTGTAAAAGAGAGAGAGAAAGACCAGGTGGAACCCTCCTTCAGGTCTGGAAATGGACTCATTTGCAAGGTTTACCTTTCAGCTAAAAGACCTACACGCATATAGGAGGTGAATAGTAACACTGGGGAGGTATTCATTCCTTAGAATAACCAACCATTTGTGATTTAAAAAAAAAAAAAAAAAAGAGCAGGAATGGAAGCAGAAAACAGGAAGGAAGTGTGGGGATTGCAGCCAATGACACAAAACAAAATGGGTATGAATTCCTGAACGGAAAACCAATACACTCTGTAAACCTGCTTCTAATTCACAATAAACTTTTTTACTGTTTGAAAAGACATGTAAGATATTTATAAGGTTTTGCCAAGTTGTCCTCCCAAGAGGCTCTATACAGCTGCATTGCCACCAGCAAAGCCTCATCCTCATTTTTCCAGCCCCACATCCACACAGGACTTTAGCTGACTGTCTACATTTTGCCAGTCTTCCAAACAAAGCACAACTTCCTACCATTCCAATTTATAGTTCTTTCAAGGAAGTTGCAAACATTTTTCTTTTGTTCACTGGGCATTTGGTTGTTTTTTTGGGTTTTTTTTTTTATGCAATCATCTGTTCACCAGTGAGGCCTGGTAGCACAGTGGATTAAGTGCTCAGCTACTAACTGAAAAGGTCAGCATTTGAACCCACCAGGCAAGGCTTCATTTTGCCTGGACTTACTATCAACACTCACAAAGCAGCAGTCAAGAAATCAAACCATGTTTTGTATTAGGCACATCTGCTGCACACCACGTCTTTAAAGTGTTCAACAGCAAAGACGTCAGCTTGAGGACTAACGTGCGCCTGACCCAAGCCATGGTATTTTCAATAACCTCATATGCATGCGAAAGCTGGACAGTGAATAAGGAAGACCGTAGAAGAATTAATGCTTTTGAATTATGGTGTTGGAGAAGAATATTGAAAGTGCCATGGGCTGCCAAAAGAACCAACAGATCTGTGTTGGAAGAAAGAAGTTCAGCTAGAATGCTCCTTAGGAACCAGGATGGCAAGACTTCATCTTTCAGACTTCGGGCATATTATTAGGAGGGGCTGGTCTCTGGAGTACGACATCATGACCCAGTGGCGGGTCACTGAAACAGAGGAAGACCCTTAATGAGATGGACTGGCACACAAGCATACAAATGATTCTGAGGATTGTATTACGCAGGACTGGGCAGTGTTTTGTTCTATTGTGTTGAGGGTCTCTATGAGACACTCCACTGGGAGCAAGATGAGGCTGTTTGCGTCTATAAAAACATCTACAGCCTTGGAAACCCTTGGCAATAGCTCTACCCTGCCCTGTAGGGTCACTGTGCAGTGGCCTTTTCTGTTCATAACTTTGCTCAATTGTTCTCCTTTGATAGTCATTTAGAGGTTAGAGAAACCATGTGCTTGGCATGCTCGTTTCAAACCTTTTCTCCCTGCTGACCACCTGCCATTTAATTTTGTTGATGTTTCTTTCATGGTGACATACATTTAAAATTTTACATAATGACACTTCTTGTCTTTCCCTGTATGATCTTTGAGTGATACATATTTACTTGGGAAGATCTCTTATATCTAGTAAAGTTATGCTCTTAGATTTTCTCCTGATTTTTTTTTTTTGTAGTTTAGATTTTTACTTTCTCTAGAATTTATTATTTACTTTTTGCATAGGATGAAGTGGAGATTGCAACTTTTCTTTCTTTCTTTTTTTTAAAATTCTGGGATCCGGAATTTTTTTTGTCTACTCCCTGATTTCCACTCTGAGTTGCAATTTCACAATTACAACTTCACGATGTGGACCTGTTTTTGGGGATTCTTTTCTGCTTCCCTGACCTGTGTGTTCTTGAGTAATGCTGTGTTTTAATTATAGTTGGTGCACAGCATGTCCTGATATCTGGTTGGACCAGTCTCCCATTTCATCACTGCTTTTTTCAAACATCTCCCAGCCCTTCTAAAGTACTTTGTCTTCCAGATGAAGTGACAAAGTGACCGTGATATTCTCTGAGTTACCCCACTGAGGTTTATGCTGCAGCCTAGCCTGCTTCTCCATAAAGAGGAGGCAGAGAGGGGCTCTTCGGATGTTCCCTCACCCATGGGGCCAAGCTGCTGCCTCTTTTCTGTACTATATATAACTGCAGGCTGTCATTGAGACCACCTCTCTGCTCTAGGAAAGGCAAGAAATGGCACCATCAATGAAGAACTTGGGGATGGGTGCTAGGGCAAGGTCCCTATTCTGCACTGTCAGGGGGAGTGTCAGAAAGGTGATGGGGCTGGAGTGATGAAGGACTCAGAGCCTGGCCGTAGGTAGAGCTGGGGGGATGCTCTTAGGTGATGTGGGGAAGAGCCTGTGTGTGTGTGGGGGGGAGGCATGGGAGGGTGTTAGTCTTCATTATTTGGATCACCAAGCCTACAGCTGGGAACCGAGATGCAGATGTTCCCAGCTGCTGCCTGTCTCTCCCAGTCCCAGTAGTGACAGACGTGGAGACCAGCTGTCGGAGACCAGCAAGGGTATTGTCACTTATCTCTTGCTTGCTGTGGTTACATTTTACGAAGCTGACCCCATGTGTGTGTGTGTGTGTGTGTGTGCATGCATGAGTGTATATATCCATGCATGTGTACATACATGTGTATGTGTACACATGGGTGTGTACATATGAGAGGAGCCAGGGTGGGTAGTAAACATATCACCAGAACAAAGCAGAGAAAGGGGTCTTGCTCCTACCCCAGCCCAGTGGGGACACTCATTTGGGCAAGAGGTGGAGGGGCAGAGAGGGCCCGTGGGAGCCAGCAGACAGACCTGCAGCCATAGTTGTGGAGTGATTAGTTGTTTTATGGGATGAGGCACCTATTAGGGCTGCTCTAATCCAGGACTTCCCAAGCAGCCCATCCTGTAGGATACATTAGGGTTTAGTCTATAAACGCTAATTACAGGCCTCTGTGGGTGAGCAGAGAATGGAGCCAGGGTCTGGGACCCAGAGGGATGGGAAGCAAACCGACAAGAGAGAGAAAACTGTGGGGCGCGAAGCCTGGAACCAGAGGGGGTCGGCCTGAGGCTGGGACCCTGGAGGCTCAGTTGGGGGCAGAGGTGTGCTCTCCTGAGTCTGGGGAGAAGCTCTTTGGAGTTCACCCAGGATCCTACTCTGCTCAAGGGCTAGTCTGATGGGTGTTTAAAGAATGGGGGAAGGACCGCAGTGTGTGATGCTCAGAGTCTACACCAGGGGACTTGGGTAGCAAGTGTAACTTTGGAGGTGGGCCACTGACCCTTTGGGAACTATGGGAAAAGCTTCGATCTCCCCACCTCACAATACAGACAATTGAGAATATGCTTTATGGGGATTCCCTGAGATTCATCACTGCAGCCCCTGTAGAGATGGTAATCCATACTGTGATCACTGTGGCGTTTCAGTCCCACCCCAGCATGGCTCACCCCTCCCAGAATGTAGGGTCAGTGACCCCTCTGGAGTCCAAATTCCCCCTCCCTGGGGCAGGTGATGAGGAACAGCTGTGGTGGCATCCCCGGGGTGAAGCTTGGCCCCCCCATTCAGCAGCCTCTGACTCAGCTGCCCCCTTGCCCCCCCGCCCCCCATGGCCTCTCCAGGAAACACTTCCAGTTTTTCCTGCTCGTTCATTCCTCCACCCACCTCTACCCATTTCCCACCAGACTAACCCTGTACCCCAGCCCTTGGCACTTACCCCGTGCTCTGGGGGGTCCAGCAGCCAGCCCAGCTCCCCCTGTGCCTTGCTGGTGTCCATCAGAATGACTGGGTGGGCAGAGAGGGGCTGTCACTTGGGGGAGGGGGTCCAGTGACACCCACATGCCCGTGGCAGGGGCCCGAGCCCTGGGTCAATGGCCAGTTCCCAATGGCTGTGGCCTCCTGGGGCTTGGGGCGGGTAATAGTTCTACAGAGGGTTCCAGGGGATGGCTGGGGGTGGGGGGCAGAGTCAGTACAGGGTGCATTAAGAGGGCTGAGGATGGATCCTGCTGCAGAACCGCAGTGCCTGGGGAGGGGGTCCCAGTGGAGAAGGTGTGGCCAGGGGCTCAGGTGGCCTACCAGTGGGAGAAATCTCATCAACACTTTCCAAAGCCTGCTTTGGCCGTGAAGGGACATGGGCCCAGCTGGGAGGGGACACAGGCCCAGCTTGGAGAAAGTACAGGCCCAGCTAGGAGGGGACAACAGGCCAAATTTTGAGGGGATACAGGTCCAACTTGGAGGGAGTAAGGCCCAGCTTGGAGAGGGTACAGGCCCAGCTTGGAGGGGGCAAAGGCCTGACACTGTAGGGTGCAGGCCCAATCCAAAGTCGGGGGTCGGGGTGGGCTGGGAGCCAGAGAAAGCCTTCATTGTAAGCCGGGGCCCTGCATTCCGGGGCCCTGCACCCACTCGGTCCCTCTCCCTCCTCCGCCCGCCCCGGGTGCCAGGTCGCGCCCCACTTCCCAGCTCCGGCCTGGGCACCTGGGCCGCCGGGCAGGGGGGTCTCAGCGCAGGCTGGGCAGGGGTCCAGGCCACGCCTCCCGGGCTCAGGGCGCCCTTCCCAGCCCGCACGGGCGGTGCCCTGGCCGCGGAGGAAGCCGGGGTCAAAGACCAGGGCCGGCCGGCGGCCCCAGCGCGGCGGCCCCAGCCCGGGCCGAGGGGTCCCGCGGACGGTCGTACCTTCCTCGGCGCGCGCTCCCGGGAACCGCGGGGCGCAGAGCAGCAGCAGCAGCAGCAGCAGCAGCAGCAGCCCG